ATAGTTCCAGCTACTTGGAAGGCTGAGGTGGAAGGATCACCAGAGCCCAGCAAGTCGAGGCTGCGGTGGCCGGGAGCGGCCACTGCACTCCAGTCTGGGCGACAGAGTGAGACTCCAACTCAAAAAAACAAAACAAAACAAAACAAAAAAACATGGACCATGAAGTCTCTCGTAATCCCTTGTCCCTTACATGGCTGCTGTTAACAGCCGTTCTGAGACTTTCTCCACATGTGCAACTTAATCCTCTTGTAATTTTGCCCGAATACCTGCCGTGTTCACGACATCACTGGCTTTAGCTCTTGGTTCAAAGGTCATCTCACAGAAGCTTTCCATGAAGCCACCCATTTAAAACTTGTAAAAGGCCTGGCGTGGTGGCTCACACCTGTAATCCCAGCACTTTGGGAGACTGAAGCTAGAGGATTGCTTGAGCCCAAGGATTTGGGACCAGCCTGGGCAACTTAGTGAGACCTCATCTTTACAGTAAATCAAAAAAATTAGCCGGGTGTGGTGGCGCATGCCTGTAGTTCCAGCTACTTGGAAGGCTGAGGCGGAAGGATCGCCAGAGCCCAGCAGGTCGAGGCTGCGGTGGCCGGGAGCGTGCCCCTGCACTCCAACCTGGGCAATGGAGTGAGACTCCGACTCAAAAAACAAAGTAAAAGCTACAAGACCGTGGCGGTGCCTCCCAGGGCACTGAACGGCGTCATGGGAGCTTGGGACTTCACAGGAAAGCCGCTTCTGATGATGACACAGCTCAGCAAAGAAGCCGTTCCTCATTCCACTCCCCACGCGCGACTGAAGGACGCTTTCCCGCAGCCTCGCCCACACTGCGTGTCATCACCTTTTGAGGTTCACCTGTCTGCAGGCCAAAGGGTGGTGTCTCTGTAGGGTTTCGCCTGTCTCTCCCTGACACTGAGCACCCATCCTCCTCTCTGTTGGGGTTGAGATCAGAATGAGCTGGGAGTCCCTTGGCATTTGCACCAGAGCTCTCTGAGCAACTGCAGGAGCTGGCACTGTCATCTCCACTTTATGAATGGCGATACAGGCCAAGCGCTGTGGCTCATGCCTGTACTGCCAGCGCGTTGGGAGGTGGTGGCAGAGGCAGGAGGACCACTTGGGGGCAGGAGTTTGAGACCAGCCTGGGTAACACTGTGAGATCCCATCACCACCAATTTTTGTTTTTAGATTAATTGAAAATTTTAGACCACGTGCAGTGGCTCACACCTGTCATCCCAGCACTTTGGGAGGCCAAGACAAGAGGATTGCTTGAGCCCACGGGTGCAAGACCAGCCTGGGCAACACGGTGGGACCTTGTCTCTACACTAAATCAAAAACAGCTGGGTGTGGTTAGCGCGTGCCTATAGTTCTGGCTACTTGGAAGACTGAGGCGAAAGGATCACCTGAGCCCAGCAGGTTGATACTGGGGTGGCCATGAGCATGCCACTTCACTCCAGCCTGGGCAACAGAGTGAGACTCCAACTCAAAAAAAAAAATTTGCTGGGCATGGTTATGCACACCTGTAGTTTCAGCTACTTGGGAGGCTGAGGCGGAAGGGTCGCTGGAGCCCAGCAGGTCGAGGGTGCGGTGGCCATGATCGTGCCACTGCACTCCAGCCTGAGTGACAGAATAAGACTCCGACTCCAAAAAAAAAAAAAGGAAGGGAAAAAAAGATGCATATGGTATGGGTACGACACTTTCCAAGAACCCCCG